AATCATAAGCGCAAAGCTGCTCTAATTACAGAAAAAAAACTCATTTCTAAAGTAAAACAAGAGGAACGTCTTAAAGAACGTTAAACTTGTACAGAAGCTTTGCAGCATTTTCATGATTCGCAACTGGGAAACAAAGTTTTAATTCGATTACAATGGAATTAGTAAGAGCTTGTTTGCGTAATTATAAAAATATGTATTAATTTTCTCTTTTCTTTTATAATTATCTCGTGCCTGTGCAGATGCAACAAGTCTTCATTGTTTCTGTCGTATTTAATAATTTTCGGGCTTCCGCGAATCAATTGAATCTACAGGTATAATGCGGGTTCGGGTAGGCAATCCTCTCAGGGTTGTTTGGATATTTTAACCGCGATACACGCTGTTTGCTTAGTTGGGTGAATTTTTCGCCCCTCTTTATCAGGCCCAAACGTACATAAACCCTTTTCTGTTTAGATTTAAATAAAACGGAAATTACGATTTAAACGGAAGCTGGCAATCCGGGCTGTAATTTTCATGCGCTATAATTGGCGACTTCAGGAAATTAGTGCTATTATGTCGCAGCTCTCGCATCTTTTCGAAATATTAATCAAATTTTCCTTCCCATTTCAAAACACTGTACATATAAACAAATATAGTTTTTTGTCACTTATAATTGCACAAGAGGTTTGTATTTTACCGAGTAAATTTGGGTTGTTTAGGTAATGAAAATCCGTTGCCTAGCAATTAGACGAGAAAAACTGTCAACTAATAAAAATGCGACACCGCAGGTGGAGCATTTTTAGGTTGACAGTTTTTCGAGTTCAATTGCTAAAAGGAAACAGATTTGAGTTGCAACAACCCAAATTTACTCGGTTTAAATACAAACCTAGAGTGTAATTCGGTAGGACAATTTAACGAACAAGAAATTCACGAAACTAATCAATTATTGACAGACGTCAAACTAGTCATATGGGAAAGGATAATGCGATAATTGGTTCGAAAATGAATAGTGAAAAAACTAAAGTCACTAAATATAGAAAGTACCGCAATCCATTGGGCTCGTGTGTTAGAGAGAGAACGCATGATTTTTGCCCAAAAATGGCGGAAATTACCAGATTCTAGTAACTTTAATGTTAGGGATTGTTCCACCTGTTTGGAGATATCTGTATATATTTTTATAAAACATGACAGTACTATGAAGTTAGGTTATAAAAAATTACAGCTATTCAGATTTTATTTGTCAATTTTTTTAAGTTGGCAGCAAATTTGCCCAAAAATGGCGGATGATTGCGGTACTTTCTATATCTAGTGACTTTAGAAAAAACCACTAGTGCATTTGTCGCTGGAAAAGTTGCAGGTAACTTTTGCCGCTGTCAAAGTGACAATTGCACTGCGGCTTATGCGATTTTTTATACATGAGTTGAATTGTCACTTATAATTGCACAAGAGGTTTGTATTTTACCGAGTAAATTTGGGTTGTTTAGGTAATGAAAATCTGTTGCCTAGCAATTAAACGAGAAAAACTGTCAACTAATAAAAATGCGACACCGAAGGTGGAGCATTTTTAGGTTGACAGTTTTTCGAGTTCAATTGCTAAAAGGAAATAGATTTGAATTGCAACAACCCAAATTTACTCGGTTTAAATACAAACCTCGAGTGTAATTCGGCAGGACAATTTAACGAACAAGAAATTCACCAAACTAGTCAATTATTGACAGACGTCAAACTAGTCATATGGGAAAGGATAATGCGATAATTGGTTCGAAAATGAATAAGTGAAAAAACCACTAGTGCATTTGTCGCTGGAAAAGATGCAGGTAACTTTTGCCGCTGTCAAAGTGACAATTGCACTGCGGCTTATGCGATTTTTTATACATGAGTTGAATTGTCAATAATAAAATTAATAAAAAAAATTTACACAGTCATCTCAATGCGTAGTTCAATGAAAGAAAATTGCTCATAGTACAAATGAACTGTACAATTCACCCTTGTAATCACTTTTCATTTTTATACTTAATTAATTTCCATGGAGCTACAAATTTAATTTTATAATTTTAGGGGGAGAAAATGCTGTGTTTCGATTCAGTGAATAGTTGCAATTGCAGTTATACTTTTTAATTTAAAAGGTTTATTATGAATTATGAACTAACGAGTAAATTTATATGACAAAAAAGTTAACACAGCTTGGTAAGGATTTTCCATTTCTAATTCAACTAATTAAAAATAAATACAGTTTTTTATTGTAATCATTGGTATAGTTTGCCTTTAATTGCACAAAAATCGTCCAAATACTTCAACTATGCTGATGTCGTTTTATTCAGCGATCAGGAATAGACCTATATTAGCCGTAGCCAAAGATTACTATATATTGATCATGGCAATTAAAATTCCAGGCGTTCGAATCTAAAGCCTCAGATGTTTAACTAAAATTTTTACAGCTCACACAAGAAAGGGGAAGACAAAGGTCGACAAACGAAAACCACGGCATCGGTAAAATGCGCGCTAAAATTTCGAGGTTAAAATTCCAACAATAGTGAGAATCGATATGGGCAGCTGCGGAAAAACAGGGAATTTACACAACGAAGCTTGTCAAGAATACGACGGTAATTAAATTTTCGACGGCTTCGCGTAATGGCTCACGTACCGGGTTCTCATTGTTTATTTTGTTTGTTGTTTTAAAAAGTATTTACGAACAAGTAATATCTATTTTACCTTTGCTTGTACTAACCATTAATCTTTGAATGTCGTGTCCTAGGTCGTGTCACACAATTTGTTATTATTTATTTTTTTATTTTACTTTTTTTATTTATTATTTACATTATATTATACTATACATGGGGGATTAAGTACTTATTAATGTATTAATGAGGAAGTTGATTACCAATGAGAGGTTTTTCTGTACGATTCAATTAAACTAAATCTTGTAGGAGTACGGAGTGCAGTTCGATTCTTCACTGTATTATGTTGCTCCCTTATCTCGTTCCCGTTGCCGGACGATGCTAAGCAATAGAAGAAAGGAGGACCTCTAATTTGATGTTTCTCTGTATGAGTCGTTTAACTATACCTTGGAGAAAGTACCTTATAAAGTATTATGCTTCGCTGTATTATGTTGCTTCCTCATCTCGTGCCCGCTGCCGGAGGGTGAGTGAGCAATACAAAAAAGAGGGGTCCGCTAATTAACATTTCTTTTATTTATGTCGTTGGCTTGTGCGAATTTATGCATTTGTACATGCAATTTACCCTTTTTTCGAGTTGTTAAGCCTAAGATGATGTGTTTAATAGGTTTTTGTACTAAGAAGTTATTCATTAACCACGTGATGCTCGAAGAGGGGTTCCAAAAAATCACAAGGGGGAGTGGGAGTGTAGTGAGATACCACTTGCATTTATTTCGCTAAAACGTGCGATTTATAAACCGAAAAGTGGTGTGTGATTGTGACTCATTGCCAGGAAACGATTGCCCTTCCAGCCGCGATAACCACCCGACGCGGCTTGCCGGTCACGAGTAATACAGTAATTGGCGCCTAATATATGCGTACTTTGTACTGAAAAATACACGCGATTTTGGGAAGGGCGGAGGGGAGTATTAAACCTGACTACGTATCACCAGGGTGAAGGAAATTTAAAAAGGTGCAAAAAACACCACGTGATTAATGAACAATCTAAATTGATTGATCGTGTTTTCCACTTCTGTTTGTATCTTTGTATCTTTTATCTTGATTTAACTGCATTTGATTCAAATACTCGATTTGATTTATCGTGTTTTCCAATTGTGTTTATGATGTCTCTTGTGTTTGGTGATTTACTGCATTTGGCTCAATATACGATTTGAGATGTTTGATTTGTACATTTGTCTCTTTTGCATTTTGTTGTAGTTTATTTTTCTTTTTTTGTATTTGTGTGGGTTATTTCAGGTTTTTTGCCCATAAAAGGTTTTCTTGATATCGCCTTGTTATGTCCGTAATATATTTTATATAATAATATTAATAATAATAATAATAACATATAATGACAGGTCCACCCAATAAAGTTACACGCCCTAGCACAGTTAAAAAACACATAACTCCTTCTTCACAGAAACACACCACGTTATCACAACCCCCTCGTATTCAACCCAAACGCAAAAATCTAAACAGCTCTACTAGCTCACGAAATACTGTAATATCTCCATCAATAACCCAAGCAACAACACAAATACAACCTCAAGAACAAAGAAACACCATAAATACAAGTAACGCAACTTGCACTACAAAGACAGATCCACCCAATAAAGTTACACGTCCTAGCACAGTTAAAAAACACAAAACTCCTTCTTCACATAAACACACCACGTTATCACAACCCACTCGTATTCAACCCAAACGCAAAGCCAAAGAAACACTTACACAATAAACTCTATTAATAAAATTACAGGAATTATTATAATGATATTTTTGTTTTGTTTTCTTCTTTCCTGATAGCGTTGACTATTGTGTTTCACTTAATTTTATATAAAATTTAAATATTTTTGCCGCTTTAATTCAAATTTATTACCAAAAGGATAAACAAAGTCAAGGTAACAGGATGATGAGGGTCATCTCTGATAGCAAAAGGTGACCAGCCATTTGCCATTAGATTTTTGAATGGTCAAGTTATTCAGCTGAATGCATCTTAAGATTGTTAATTAAATAATTCTAAAGAAGAGCAAAATAATAAAGTTAATTAAACAATTTGTAATAATACGTGAGTATTTTCTTTCTGTAATGACGTATTCATATTTAATTATAATTTTCAGATCTATATGATAGGCGCCTCATGGCTACCCTAAATTAATTATTTAATCTTATACTATATATTTGGAACCCAGTTCATCCTGGTAATGCATTAAATTAATCTGTAGCTGCTTGGAGCTAATTTTTAATATTTCAGGGTTCTTTTAAGTAATTATATAATTTCTATCGAAATATTAGAGTTGCCCTAGAATTGGCACTCGTAAGGAAATCAACATCTAACGTAGCAGTCAAAATAAATCTATCCTATTCCAACTCCCAGCAGCTCCAGTCGTCAAGGTCTTCAACCGTCTTCCGAAGTAAACCGTCTAGAAAAAGGTCAGACTGTATCGTACACTTACAATCATATACAAACATAACACCATAAAATTGTACTTACCAATAAGGTATCCGAATTCTGTAAGAGATCTCCGCGACAGGTCACACCTCCATCTCACACGATCAGTCGGACAACTAAAATCAAATATTGAGCAATTAACGTTTGATAATTTTGAATAAAATTAAACTTACCCTCACGTTGTTCATAATTTAATGGTCAAATTACCAGAACGGGCTAGTTAACGTCACGACCCTGAGAGTACTTTCCGCGCATAGCCCTGGCGCCCTTATATCATTCATGCTCTACCATCAGCCGAGCGCAACAGGGTATCGGTTCAAATGTATCCGCCATTACATTAAGATAACAAAACCGTTTTCACTTACCCGGTAGCACCATCAATAGCTATGTTGGTAAGTATGAATTACATACTATCCCTAGATTTCCAATGTGCGTGTGTGAATTTTTATTTTATTTATTTTTTTTTAGAATCCTACATAACTTCACCAGACACAGACGCAGACACTAATCGTTAATTGATTTCAATCCGTGCGATTAGTTAGCCAGGCTAGACTTGAATTCTGACAGTAGAAACACCGACCATAATAATAATAGTCTTTATGTCTTAGTAACCTATCATAGCACATTTTATATGTGATACGCGGGCATAAAGTACCACTTTATGCCCTAGGGCATTAAGTATCACCATAGTAACTCATTTATACTTAATGACAAAAATTGAAAATTAGAAACGTCAATTATTAATTGTCAATACCTACCTACTAAATCACAAGATTGGCCTTATTTCTTATAGTTTCTGGAACTATTTGCTCATTCACGATGAATTGAATTATTTAAAATTACGTTTGACGTTTGGATGGTTTCAATCACATTAACAAATTCGAACCACGCATACCTGATCAAACATAATGAATTATTTTGTAAACGAATATTTACTTTGACGAAGAAAACTATTTGTAAAACATAAAATTTTGTATGTACCACGGGCATAAACTGATGTTTATACTCTCGGGCGACTAAAAAGCTCTCGGGCCATAGGCCCTCGAGCTTTTTAATTCGTCGCCCTCGAGAATATAAACATCACTATTATGCTCTTAATACATAAATAACTATTATTTTTCTCCTATAAACTTAACCAGTAAACCCGTGGGCTACGCTCCACTCCTTTTATGTAAAGTAGCTTACGATATTAACAATTGCAATATTTCAACTACTTATAAATCCAAAATAGTATATTAAGAAACAAGTTTCATAAGTGGCGCGTTTAACGCACGAGTTCAAGTTTAGAAAACGAGCCGCTCGCGGCGAGTTTTCTAATGAACGAGTGCGATGGGGCGTCTTATGAAACAAGTTTCTTATACTATTTTTTCTATTGAGAAGATATTTTCGAGAAATTTTTATCAAAATGTTATAGTAACTTTTTGTAACTAGGGAATTTTGATATAGAAGTTGTATTAGTGCAGGTTGTATTAAGTTGGCAGTACGACGTCCCAAATATTTCACTTATTTAAATACACTCTCATCAATTTTGTTTTAATTAATAAACTTCAGAAATTAGTACATTAACTGTGGAACAATTCATAAAGGCAAAATACAGTCCTTCGTCCTTTTATATAAGTTATGTGAAATTCAGTCGTGTCACTGTCGATTAACGACAAAGCTAACAGCTAACAGATTTCGCCCATATGACACTGCTTCTACTTATATTGGTGACTGACATAAAAAGAAAAACAAAGGTTTCTTTTCGCGATTTGCCATTAACGGTCACTAACGGATCGGTCCTTAGTGGGTTGTTGTTACGTGATAGGTGTCACTCATTACGACGGGTTCGGCTTCGGATTGTCACTTCCTCTTAGGAGCATAACGATACTACACAAATCAGGCTCACGATATTAATAACGCAGAACAAGTGCTAAAAGCAATAAGCTGCTTCTTTAAAATATTGTTTAATGTGTTCCGAAGGTATCTTCGTTGTCATCCTTTCCCCATTCGAAATCTCCTTTATAACCTGTAGGTCTTTTTTGGAAGATAGGTACACTATTCGTACTAGTAATCATTGGTCACAGATTACACGTAGATGTTGAACGTGCTACAAAAAGAGGCATTAATCATTAATGTAAAAATTTACCTCAAAGCCCCACATTGTTGATATCTCGGTTCTTACGCTACATACCGTAATATTTAATTCCCTTTTGAGTTTTGGGAGAAAGTAATTAGGCGGTTTTTTCATATTGTTCTTCTTGTAATTTGATTAACACTTTATCAGCCTTACATGTCTCGCTTTTAATCAAATAGAAAGGGAATCTTGTCTTTCTGTATATCAAAACATAACCCTAATTTGTAAATAAATACAATCGAATGTCAAATAGGGTAGTGAATTTAGGTTTTCCTCTTTAATACCAACTTAAAAACGGTGCGTTAATAGGTCTCATTAACGCACTGTTTTGAGCGGAAAACAGTGCCTTAATAACAACATTTAAAAATCGAAATAGAAAAATACATTTATTGTATAAATTTCAACGTCACTGCTGCATTCCGGTAATACTAATTTTGGGAACTATGACATGTAGGAAGAAAATGAATATATCCATTTTTTGTAGGAAATTTAATTGTCTTTAACTGCCTAATTCCGTTACACAACGATTTTGATAAGAATGGTTTTTAGGTAGAATGGATGGTATAAGGTTCATAAGCGAAAAACGAAAAAATGTGGCCCTCTTTCCCACCTGTAGCGGCTGGGCTAGAAACGGGGACTTTTGCTATTCCCGTCCTCTACAATCCGTCTATTGACTGAACTATATTGTCATTGTCCCTGCTTAGTTAAAGAACACAGTATCAAAGAGTCTTTGATAGTACAGTTCTCACGGCGAGTGTAAGTTTGCCTATAATCAGTAAAATGAGTAAGTTCGCATATCGGACTAGCGCTTATATTCACAGCGCGCATGAGGTTATACATCTTTCCTTATTTAAAACATGACATTATTGAGGGATGGGAAACACCCACTTAAAAGCGTCAAGCCAGTCGCTTTTAAGTGGGTGTTGCCCATTCCGAGACCAACATACCTTAACTATTGCTTTCTCTTTTTGCTGCAACAACCTCCATTTTAAACGTCTGTAACGTCCAGTGTAATTAGTTACACCGCCCGCGGTTCGTAAAACTAGATACGCACTTGCCCTCTACCTCAAATGTCATGTTTTAAATAAGGAAAGATGTATAACCTCATGCGCGCTGTGAATATAAGCGCTAGTCCGATATGCGAACTTACTCATTTTACTGACTATAGCAGCAGGACGCGCTGCGCACTGTTTCGAATTTAAATTGTTTGAAATAGCGCGATTGCGTAAGCCATTGGTAGGTAATTTAGATAACCGACCGCTGCCGAGCACACGATAACATACCACAGAAAACAACACAGGTACATAATATGGATCGTTTCTGTAGTGTATGTGGTGCAAGAAAACGACTTAACTTCGATTTTTCAATAGGTAAGTAGCCACTATATTTTATTGCACCTAAGTAAAACTGTTGTATTTCAGAGAAATGTGAAAAATGTAACCAAATGCCGTACATTCTCTCATTCGAATTGAAATCAAGCAATGTTTTACGTTGTTCAGTGTGCGTTTCGTACATTTGCGAGTCAAATAGATATTGTGAAATATGTGGCCATACCGTAGAACGTAGTAAAATAATTAGAAGCAAACGGGCAATTGAAAACCGCGACATGATTCGCGCAAAAAAAAATCAGGCTTTAGAAAGAAGAAGAGAAACTCACAATATGGTAAAAGCTGAAACAATTTCATCTTTATCAACATCGCTACGACTGTGCAACGGTCTAAAACCAGACTGTGTGGAAGGTAGGAAATTAAAAGATATTAAATGATTTATAAGTTGAGCATTAATGATCTTTTCTAATATTTTAGATATCGCTGGTAACACACTGATAGGACGCAGGTGATTCAAACCTGTAGGATTTTTTTATTTTAGCAGGTCTCACAAATGCCGGCTTCCATAAGGTTGGGAATTTGTTTTCAACTATGCAGCAGTTAATGATGTGGGTTATGAGCTGTATTACAATTGGGTAGCAATATTTTATCATTTCTATGTTAATTTTATCTATTCCGTAGGAAAGTGAATGAATTTTATTTAATAAATCTAATAGACAGTATATGAGTCTACAGTTTTGAATTCCAGCGGCACAGTGACTCCTGCGGTCTCCACGTACAAGTTTACACTCACAAAAAACGTGTAAGAGAGAGAGGAATTTTGCAACACGTGATGATTGGCGCACGTAAGCTATTAATTAGCTTTAGAAGCGCCCAATCGTTTCGAAATTTGGCATTGGAGTGCTTTTCAGAGCTTAAGACCAAAATTAAGGGCGTGCGGTGCGATTGTGGAACATACAATATACTTACCACCTTAGGGTTCCTTATCCATGGCGTAGCAACAACATAATTTTGTCGAGAAAACCTCCAAATGCATTACCTTTCCGCCTATGTAGTAACCTTCATGTATATTTTTGGTATATACATCGACCAAAAAAATTTCAACATCGTTACTTATTTTCCGAGATCCTTCATGGTTTAAAACCTTATACATACCTACACGGTGTCCCAACGAAGATCTGTACCCCTAAATCTAGGCAAAATAAATGTTTTGACAAACATCTAAAAACCACTATATTTTTATATCGAGAGGCCCCCCTCCTCCCACATACTTTTAAATGGGACATATTCTGAAATCGGTGAATTTTAAAAAATCATTACTAGAACACCCAAATTTTATTTTTTGTGTATTTCTGTGGAAACGAATTGTGCATCATTGTTTTTAGACGAAAATAATAATTTATCTTAAGTGGTGCAAATCGAATGAGTGATATGATAAGTACCTATATCCTGTCCTAAGTATATACATATATATATATAGCCGTGAATTACGTTGGAAAGTCAGAGAGCTCTTCAACATGAAAAGTTTCATTATTTGTATTCTATTGGTACTGGTGTTAGTTGGCCTGTCAAAGGCTGCCCAATACTGTGTATCAGGCGATATAGTTACAAAACTATGTAAAGGCCTTTACTGTGACTGGTTGTGGAGTATGTGCCCTGAAGGATATGAAATATGGTATGCTCCTTTTGTATTTCTCTATATGTAGCTAATTTATTACTTTTTAAGAAAATAGTAACGACTCTTTATTTCTCGATTTAAAGAATTTACCTAAACGGTATTCTCATCTCTCCATTGTGACTATTAAGAATACCTATGTAGTGACCATTTCTAACATGCATATTAACTGCCGCCCCTATTAGTACCTCTGCAATATTTGCAATAGAGGTGTTTTGATTTCATTTTCAAACTTATTAATTTTTTTGTTATATTTCAGCCATTACAATCCATACAACCGTTGCGGATTGTGGTACCAGACCTGCTGCAGAGAAATTGTAGAATATAACTAGCAGCACAGACAAAATAGATATAAAATTTGTATAAAAGTATATTACCTACATCTGTTTTATATACGTTCAAAGAATGTACTTTATTTCTACAAAATTTATATTAAAATATGCCTATTTAATGTTAGTGTAATACATACATATTAAATACGTATTTTGTTTGAGAAGGTATTTAAAGGACGTCTATAATATTTTTTAGTACTTACCTTTAAAATGCACATTTAATACGTTTAACACATACTTTTTTAGCTTCCTAGCATGTGCTAGGTAGCTATTGCGATAGCCGTTTTTTGAACATTTCAAAATTTCATCAAATGTCGACGTTTTAGACCATTTTAAGCAACTTTTAAAGAATAAAATTTTTTTCCGTCTGTATGTACGTACGTACGTACGTTTGTTGGCAATTTTCTGAGAAAACGGCTCGACGGATTTTGTTGAAATTTTGTATATATGTTTTAGGCATACCGAACAGAAAAATAACGGGCCGGATTTTTGAAAAAAAATTTTGGAGCGCCGTAACGGCATCGAACTTTTTTTTTCAAATAGCAACCTAAAATTTTTATTCTATTATTTGGAAGACCTTATTTTTGTTCCTACAAAAAATTGGGCCGGGTTATATTATCAAAAAACGGAGAAAAAAATTGTCAAAGTCAAAAAATTGTGTTGCATATGTGCAAAACGCAACGATCTTGTTTCTGAAGCAATTTAAACGAAATTTCTATGGTAAGTCCCTTTAATAAAAGCAAACAAAATTCATGCGCAAAAATCGTATTGCGCATGCGCAGAAATGCAATTTTCTTATTTATGGAACAATTAAAACGAAATTTGGATGGTAGGTCCTCCTAATAAAAGAAAACAAAATGCATGCGCAAAAAATCGAGTTGCGCATGTGCAACATCCAACTTTCTTATTTATGGAGCAATTTTAACGAAAATTGGATGGTAGGTCCCTCTAATAAAAGCAAACAAAATGCATGCGTAAAAAATTTTTGGTTTCAGCTAGGAAGCTATTCTGTCAAGAATTTGACACCTGGTTTTTATATACTTTAAATATTTTACAAAAATTGATGTAAAATCTTAAAATCTCTTTAACGTTAAATAAAATATATTCCAAATGTCTAGAAAATAGTGATAGTAATAAATAATAATAGTAGTAACAATAATAAAGTTTATTGAGCCTTAAGTAAGAAAGCTCAAAAGGGTATGAATTCGGATAATCGTCTTACAAATTCGCCTACTTCCCTGCAAAAATGATTAAAATTGTTATTAAAAAATGCAGTAGGAATTTAATTTAATAGTAATGGTGCCATATAGCTAAAACAACCCTCAATTTCTTTTAGTTTTGTGCTGCGGTGTAGTATATGAGTCTACTCTTAAGTTTAGGCTATGAATAGCAGATCTTTTAACCAATATGTTACAGGAATTAACATTTCATCACGAGGAGTCGATTATAAGGTACCTAAGCCAAAGGAATTTGAAGAGAGAAACAGGTTGCGTTTCCCTGACTTGGATAAACAGTTAAGCAATTGCAGCCATTTACCACATATTCATGTAATAGAAGCAAACAGAAATTATACTAATATATCAGGTTTTTAAGTACGGAAAGAATTTTATCAAAGGTCGGAGAGTTTTAGATTCAAAAAACGTGATATAGTCACTAGAGGCAACTGTAAAAACAAGCTCTTACTACCTAAATCTAACTCTACCACAACAATTATGTACCTCGGTCCCAAATTACATAACTTCAGATTAGACCAAATTCCCATTAACTTATCATCTAACAATGGCAAAAAGAGATCAAATTGTGGCTGCTCAAAGATAAAGAAAATATACACAAAGCTCTATCAATAATTTGATAGCACTTAATGTAGTTACTAACACACCACTCATTGCGGCTATGTGTTTTAATTAGAATTTTTTAGGTAGGTAAACTAGAAACTATTGCCTTGCAACCCCAAAAGTACAGATAACCTCCGAAGTTACTACTCACGTCGTTACTTCGCCTGAAGGTATGGCTAGTAATGGAGCAATAAAGAATAGAAGAATCAAAGGAGTGCTATGGTTACCAAGAATCCGATTTATTAAAAACCTTACCGGAAATGTTAAATGGACGCGTTATGGTATCGTAATAACAAACCTACTGGGTGAATTGGGAGGATGTTATTCGAAGCTTCAAGTTATACTACACGCCGCACAGGTACCAGCATAAGCTTGAAGAAGAAATTTGAAACGAAGTACAACGTACAAGAGAACCTTCTTATGAATACATTACAGACCTATTAACTTTGATTCGCCGACATGGGGGTTTATCGCTAGAAAGCCAATTGGATCGCATATTTATTAAACGTTTCGGGCCGAATTTAAATACATATATCAGACTTTGGGATTTTAGAAACCTTCCAGAATTAGCCAAATCTGCCAACAGATCATTTTGGCGTTAATTGATACCAAAGCAGCTAGAACGTATAAATGTGGGAATAACCCAGCAAACATTGTTGTGCAACAGTTGCACAAAGGGTAGGCAACTGTTGGCTAACTTGTTTCCGTGGGGAGAAAACATTGTCGACAAACTGTTGGTCAACATCGACCGGCCTGCTGTTTCCGGTGTTTGTCCAGTTTTCTTTCAGTCAGCCACCATGAGCGACGAAAAAGATGCTCTACTCGCGTGGTGTGCGTTTTTAGACACAACAACAGTTTTTACCAGAATTAAGAATGGAGGGCAACATGTTGTTCAATAACTTCTCTCGAATGGAAAATGTAAAATTGACCCGTATACGTGTCTACACTGAAGATGTGTGCACACTTTAGGTCAACATCGCCTTTGAAGTACCCCCTCGGGAGCGAACACCGCGCATCAGTTCGGCAACAGCTGCACAACTGTTGCGCAACACGTACTCACTGTGTAAAATTGTGTATTTTTCGACTGTTGTTCAACTGTTGCACAACAATGTTTGCTTGGTCTATTCCCACCTTAAGGTAACCTACCTACTAAAACTAAAAACAAGTAAAAAGGTTTTCGCCCTAAGGCGAGTAACTTCAGCGCATTTTCCATGTATTGATCAGTACCCAGCCAACACACTTACGTTTAATAAACGGTTTATTATACGACAATTACAATTCAAATCATAAAATTAACATATTAACAATCTCTTTCCACAAAAATAAACCAAAATTAAACTGCGCAAGGCAAGGGAAAACCAAATAAAATTAGAGTTTTGTACAATGGTTAAAATTTCAAAGAAATATCTCCATAAATGATATTGCAAACATTAGATGTGCGCATGCGCAGTCAATGCCAACTTCTTTATTTATCAAGATATTTCTTTGAAATTTTAACCATATATGCCTGTACGAAAGAAAATCACAGCGCACATATGGCCTTTTGGGAAGTACTGATCATTCATGGAAAATGCGCTGAAGTTACTCGCGTTAGGGCGAAAACCTTTTTACTTGTTTTTATGTTCAGTGACTCTCCAAATTTGATACCACAGCCGGAAATAAGGGCATACCCTCGAATAGAAATCCGTCACTATTTCCAGAGTTGTTGCATTTCTAATTTCTCTAAATTTTTATGATCTGCCTTTTGATTGAGTTGGAACTTCTTAGTTTTTGTTATGCGTTTTCTCTGAATGTTGAAAATTTTCATTAATTTAATCTCATTTATTTATATTTCAATTTACACGTGTAGTGATACCAACAAAAATGATCGCATTATCTACTCAATGGCGTCTTAAAATTTACCTAATCTGAAGGCAGTGAAAAACAAGAAAGGTGCGGCTACTGTGAACAACGTAATTTCTGTTGATAACTAAGTGGAGATATCACATCTATCTTTGATAAATAATATATAAATAAAAGTGTTTACGTGAAATACAATGCCCCTTATCAATTGTCACAGAGATGCAAGGTAACGATTGCTGTATCAAATTTAATGGATCCACTTATATACCTGTTAGTCAATAATTTTAGATAAGTGACACACATGTCTTACAAAAGAATCTTTTTGATATTCTGATAATAAATAAACGACATACCAGCCCAGAATTGACGGTGGGCTTTAGGACTATTAGGAGTAACGTAAACACTTTTATTTATATATTATTTATCAAAGATAGATATATTTTTCAAAATAGATTTATACATTACATACGATGAACTTCAACTGGGACCTTGTAGCCATCATTACACCTTCTGACCTATTGCTCCATTTTCTTTCTTCTCTGTTATTGATCTTAAGTTTATTGTTGAATTCTTCCCCGTTCCAACATCATGAACTTTAAACTCTACCACGTGTCACCTTTCTCTCCCATATATCAGCGTAAGTGAACAATAGTTTGATGTAGACGAAATCTGATACCTGGGCACTTTTGAACTAATGATCTCAAGCTTTTGAAAATGTGAAAAAATGTCAACCGTAACGAATATTCCGACCTGCAGGAGGTATGTTATACCGCATCCTCTGCGGAGTTAGGTGGGAACTTGGTAAAAAAATTTGTAAAATCAGATTGATATACACAAAAACTTTCTGTACAAGGTACAAGTTTTACAAGAATTGAGGAAAGATGATTACGATCCGAGAATTGACTTCTGCGAATGAATGTCCCGACAGCCGCATTTACACGAGGCCAGTAGGAGGGCAGGTTACTGGGAGCAAGTAACCTCGAGCAGGTAACATGTACTGTGTGGACGTCATTGTTTGAAAATGACAGGCAAGTTGCCTCACAACCTTCCTGGCAGGTGCACTTGCACAAGGAGTAGACTACCTGCCCCCCCACTACCACCTCTTCCGACTTTCCTACGACCTGCCTCTGCATTGGCTTCATGTGGACAGTGTAGTGGTAGTGACTCGTGACCTGCACAGCGTTGTTGTTTACATTTACGTTATAAGAAACCGGAGACGAAGCACTCTCGGCCATTTTAACTACCTGCGAAACGTTAACTTAACCTGCCAGCTCTTGCAAAACTGTTCCGCCCGTGTGGACACTAAATCAGGAAAGTTGTGAAGCAAGTTACCTGCTCGAGGTTACTTGCTCCCAGTAACCTGCCCTCCTACTGGCCTCGTGTAAATGCGGCTGTAGAGCTGATGATGCTAGCTTTACCAAAAGCATCTGCTTTGGTGACTAATATACTGTCTTGTTCAACGGATTTGTGAAAACAGAATAAATTGTAAGT